CGCCGCGCGCGTACGTCTTGGGTTGTGGAGGTGGAGAGAATCAGGAAGGGAAAGGAGGGGGGCGGCGTCTCTCTCTCTCTCTCTCTCTGTGTGTGTGTTGGGGGCGGGGCAGGGGCAGGGCAGGGTTTTGGAGGGGGGTAGGAGCAAGGAGAAAGAAAGAAAGAAAGGTGTGGTGAGGTGTGCGGAGCAGAGCGACGTTGGCGCAGCAGAGTAGTACCTGTGTTTTTCTTTGTTGCGAATTTGAGGTGGTATAGTTTGGTTTGAAAGTTCAAATTTGTAAGCCCCTCCTCCCAATTTACACTTTACTAGTATCATTATGCACCCAACCATTCATCATATAACAAATTATTTCAAATTGGTCATCCGTACGTGTTAATCCTTGTCACCAAACCAAACTAGGCAAAGAAAAACAAAAACAAAGAGAATTTGCTTTTTGGATTGGACGATTTGTTGTACCCAGTCGTTGGATGCAAAAAAAGGAATAATGGCCACATCTCCTTCTTCGTTCTGCCTTCTCGAAACACCACTCTTCACCGTCTTCCTCCTCCTCCTCCTTCTCCCGATCTCGATCTGAACCGTCCGCCCCCACCACCATGCTTGCCGCCGTCCCGGCGAGCTACCCGATTTCTCCAACACCCTGACTCAACCCTAATTAAGATAGACGAAGCGAATGGGAAAGCCAAAGAAAACATAAATCCATTGTGATTAGAAACAAATGAGACTGTACTATAGACAAGATCAAGAGTAAAACTATTACGAAGGTGAGGTCATGTAGGTCCTCAAACTATGAAAAAAGTATCATTTAGGTCCTCAAAAATCCTTAAGTGTAGTAAGTGTGTATATGTGTCATCTACTCATCTAGGTCCTCAAAAATCCTTCAAGTGTAATAAATGTGTATATATGTGACACCTCCGAAATAATTCAAGGACCTACGTGACACTTTCGAAATAGTTTGAGGACCAGGAGCCATGGTCAGTAGGCGTGATTCATCTTAAGCTTAAACATGCAGTGCAGTGCAGGTGGATCGTAATTTTCAGCTGATCGGTGGTGCCGGGGTATGTTCATGAGGATCGGACATGCATGCATGGAGTGGACAGACACGAAGCTAGCCCATGAGGATCGGAGGCGGACGATCCAAGTCCAACTCACACTGTTTGATTCGGCACGGTGAAACACTTGGCCATCAGAGCTAGCTAGCCGGACACACCTGCTCTACCTTCCCTGCTGTCTATGTTTTCCTCCATGCACCAGGATCGAGCAGCAATGGTGCCACCCACCCAGACCGGGCGACCATGAGGTTCGACGCACCTTGTAATTCCCGTCGCCGCTGGTTCATCCCCAACAAGTCAGCCGCGGATTGAATGCCGGCCGGCGCCACAACGAGCGACCACGACCACGCGCACCACCTCATCCTCGAGCCGCAGACAAGCACAACCTCAGCGTGCGTCCGCGTAGAGCTTCTTCTTGGCATCCATCGTCGTGATTAAATTGGGAGCTGGAGTTGCATCGGACTGGCAGATCCCAGGTCGGGAGCAAGGCCCAGACGCCGGTGCTGGCATGGAGGAGCCGCCACTCGCCGGCCAGCGCACGTTGCCACTCTCCGGCGCCGCTTCTTCTGTGTGCTTCTGTCCGGAAAGGATGTATCTAGAACAAGGAAGTACTCCCTCCGTCTCAAAATAAGTGTCTTGAACTTAGTACAAATTTGTACTAGAGCTAGTACAGAGTTGAGACACTTATTTTGGGACGGAGGGAGTATATGTTAGTGCATTTCTAACCGCCCCCCCTATCCGGCCGCAAGGGAGGATATAAACCCTCCCTTACGGCGCACCTAACCGAACACCTATACCGAATAGTGGAGGAAAATTTATCCTCCCATGCCGAAAATCCATCCAGATCTCCCTAAATATCCTTCATCCCGCCGCGGTCGAGTAAAAGTGGCGGCCTCTATTTCTCCCACCCTCTCGACACTTTATCTCCCGCCGCCGCCACCACCAATGACCGTCCCTCCGGCCGAAATGGATAGCCCGGACCCTTCCCTCGCCCCGCCAGCCACCGCCGCCGGTTTTTCGCCGCCGGAAACCACCCGCGTGCCGTTGCCCGCGCCAAAGAAGAGTTTGGGGATGAAATACCCACCGGGTTCAAGATCCTCCTCCAACCGCGGCAATGTCCTCCTGGGTGGCGACCGCCGCTCCTAGCGGAGCCAAACGAGCTCGAAAGCCGACGGCGACGGCCCTCGCAGAGGCAGCCGCGAAGAAGTTGAAGAAGTCCACAACGACACCTCGTCCAAGACCGGTGTCTCGTGCAGCTACTCTGGCTCTCCCTGCGACCACTGCTACGGCGCGGGCGGCGTCCGCAGGCGGCAACAAGGGTCGCGGACGCCAAGTGCTCGATGAAATGCCTACAAAGTAAAAAATATCCTCGGCCACGGTGATTGGTGTCTTTGGAGTCCTCGGCCATGATGGGACTTGATGAGCTCAACTACGATTCCATTTGACATCATTCGGATGCGCCCAAGACATGGAGCAAGAGGATGTGACCGAAGAGGCGGACGTGAGGAAGAGGAGGAAGCCAAGGAGGTGGTTGCCGATGAGGAGGTGGGCGATGAAGAGGATGTTGAAGCAAGCACGCGGTCATGAAGGTCACGCACCGCCAACTACAATCTAAAAGAAGATGTTGCTCTTTGTGACGCTTGCATCAACATCTCCATGGATTCAACGATTGGAACGGATCAAGCCAAGACTATGTTTTGGGACAGAATTACGGATCACTACAACAACTCTGTGGACGTGCAATCAAGTTGTACGTAAGGTTCTCTTGGGCCTCGTTGAAGCACCATTCATGACCAATGCAACCGATGGTCCGGTTGCATCAACCAAGTGAATCATGCACCACCGAGCGGTGTGCAAGTGACGGAGTATGGCCCCTACATCCAAGAACTTTTCAAGCATAGGAACCCCAAGTTCGTCCACAAGCCCTTCACATAAAGTGCTATGCAAGAACGATAAGTGGATCCAAAGAACCGCATAGACCACTCCAAAGAGATCAAGGTTGAGCATATCCGTTGAGGAGGACAACAAGGTTGACGAAGATGCCGACAATAGATCAGAAGGAAACAAGATTTCAATAGAAAGAAAAAAAAGAAGAGAAATGCATTCGATGGCACTGAAAGAGAAGAACTTGTGGCCATGATCGAGACCAAGAAGGTGTTGGCATCCGAACGCAAAGAAGAGAAGATGGCGAGGTGGAATGAGCTCAAGGTGTTGGAGGATGAGAAATGGAAAGCCAAGTTGGCAACCGAAGAGAGGAAGTTAAAGTCGGAGAAGCGTAGGCTTGCACTTGAGGAGGAGAGGATTCGTGATGTCAAAGAGGACAAAGAACATGCTATCTTGTTCATGAATCCAAATACAATGGATGAAACCGCAAGAAAGTATTGGTAGCTCACTCCTGGAGAGATCTTGGAAGCCTCTCTTCAGAATGTTGGTGGTGGCCGAGGGGGTGGTGGTGGTGATGTTGTCTTCTCTAAGCACCTCGTTTGAGTTCGTTCATGCCATTGGTTGGCTCAATCCACAACACACATTTAGATTTTTGTGCGCATGGGACGAGTGTTGGAGAAGAAAAGTGAGAAACTTAGATGCTATGGTCAAAACTGAGCACAACTAAGAAACCAAAGGCATGAAAATAGAAATCTCTTGTTTGAAACCTAAAGGTTTGAGTTTTGAATTTTTCAAAATTTGGCTTATGGAGCTCAAGCTCGATAAGCAATTTCCGCTGCATTGTAGAAAACCAATGTACGAGCGGATACGAACACAGCGTTTTGGAGCTCGAGCTCGTCTACACCATTCGTGAACAGTACAATTTTAAAACATACTCCCTCCGTCCGGAAATACTTGTCGAAGAAATGGATATAAATGGATGTGCCTAGAACTAAAATACATCTAGATACATCCATTCCCGGGACAAGTATTTCCGGACGGAGGGAATAGCAAACAAAAGTGCGGAAGACGGAAAAGCAGGAATGAAGGTTGCTAGGTACCGCTCCGTGGTAACATCTATCGATTCCGCTATCGGGAAAGTCTGGCAAGGGAAATATCTGGCTGAGGAATTAGAGGACAAGAAAATGGGACATGTATCGCTCTATACGCCTTGTTATTATAGAGATCATCCGAGCTCCTGCTCAGAACAGCACTGTTGCTAGTTTGTTAAATTTTCAGAGCAGATGCAAGCTAGAAAGCTGTTTCTCGGCACAAAAATATAGCAGGACGAGAAGCACACAACCGACGACTGTGATTATTAGAGAGAGATATGCACACGGTCAGTGGCACAAATGATAAAACACCAAAAAAGTTTTTTCCACTGCGATAAAACAACAAGTTTGCACTTTCATCATCTAATAATTTAACGTTGCAGCTAGCTCCCTCGTGCAAAGCCGCCTTCTCTTCAACCCATGGAGGAGATAATTTCTGCAGCGCATGGCGACAATATTTTCTGCAACAAATCAACAACTTGGGGTTACGCCTTAGAGCATATAGAGATATACAGTGTGGATACTGACTCTAAATCTCTAGATCAACATATTGGTTGGCAGAAAATAAGTACACTTTGCTCTCTGATTTATTCATGACAAAAGTAGCTAAATTAAGTTGCTGTGAATCTAACATGGCAAGTTTATGCAGACTTTGTGTGTGTGAATCAAACTGCCTTTACTTTGGACGAATGGATTTTTGTTTTCACAGACGAAATAATAAATACTCAAAAGACACCAAATACCCATGCCAGAAACAACTATAAATCGATGCAAAAAAAACTATTAACTCATAATCCAGAATAGGTCTATCCCTAACCAAATTTACTTTAGTCTCAGTGTAGAAATAGCTCAAACTTGGAACTTGACATTAAAAAGTAGCTTCATCGTGGCAAACTATATATATGTTGAGTCATCAAGAAATTACAAGAGGGGACCTTTTATTTGCCAGAACCCTTCTAAGTTTGGCTTCGAGCAGTTAAACCACGAGGGGCATCGGCAATGGCTTGAGTTCCTCCTTAACAACATCCTACACACAAGCAAAGAATAATAATCCACAAGTGACCAACGAATAGATGGTACTATACTGCACAGGAATTAGGAACATGCCATACCTTGAACTGAGATCTCAGTCTTTCCACCTCTTCATCAGACTGTAGAAAGGTGAAAACCATGAATAAAACAACAAGTGCTAAAAACTAGATTGTCAGGAAAAAAAGTTACACTTGTGTCCTCGTAATAGCGGTCCACGAAATAGTCCAGAGGTAGATCAGGTGCACCGTTCTGAAAACGATACGAGATGTTCCGCCGACCACAAGCATATGCATTACCATCATTGGGGTGCTTCACATCACCACAACAACCATGGCAGAGGCCTTTGTTTAAAAAAACAGGGGTAATTGTCATTTAACTGCCAAATAACTAACCAGGCGCGAACACATATTTACAGCTTCACAATTGAATTTAAAAGGTTGTGTCTGTGCAAACATTACATATGGATATAAGTGCACAGAGTTGTTAAAAATACCAAAAATGCAAACCTAAAGGATAAAGGATGAGATAAAACAGGGTAAAACAAATGGGCTGATACAGTCAGCATCATATACTAGAGATAGAAACAAATTCACAAAGCTGTCTAACAGATAAGCATCATATACCAGAGACAGAAACAAATTCACAAAGCTGTCTAACAGATAAGCATCATATACTAGAGACAGAAACAAATTCACAAAGCTGTCTAACAGATAAGCATCATATACCAGAGACAGAAACAAATTCACAAAGCTGTCTAACAGATAAGCATCATATACTAGAGACAGAAACAAATTCACAAAGCTGTCTAACAGATAAGCTCAGGTTACCGTCAATCACAAAGTGCTTATATTTCAACAATATGTAAGTTAGGATTCTCATAGAATACCATGATCAGAAGGTTCAAGTATACAACAACTGTTCACCGTTAATCCACGTCCACCATCTCCTCGCGTATATGCAACTTCAGCAAAGAATAGGTTGCCAGTGTCAACACCATAAGATCCTTTGGTCTTTGCAGTGAAATTCATATGAAAGTACGTCCAATGGATATAATAATCCTCCCAGAGCGGCTTGCCATGCAGAAAATCTTTGACCTCATATGCAAGATCCTAAAATAAGAGGTGATCTGATCAGTGGTTGCAATTTGTTACATGAATAGGTGAGGCAATAAGAGTATAAGACGCAATACAGCCGTGCTAGCAGGACAGAGGGAGGCTGGAGGGAGGAACAAGTGCCAACCCCAAAAAGATTATGAGGGTCGTTATACATGTCCACCAAAGCTCGAGCCAACTGGTAATCCTCATCACGCCTTTTATCTTTGACTTTTGATCCACGCTTCTTTGTGCCATCAGGATAGTAACGAACACGTTTTACAATCGCATCCACTTGAGAAAGCCCCGCACACCTAGTTCAGATTTAGAGCATTTCTATATGATTAGCTGATTGTGCCTACTCAAAAGTGGATGAATACATACAGATTGATAAAGGTAATCAGAACAACACAAATTATAGAAAAAAGACAGGGCTGGCTAATTAAATGAAAGGATTTCAAACCAAAATCTTTGCTAAGCTGTTGAATACAAAAAACAGAAGAGAACAGAACTGTTCCCATGTCTGTGAGTTGGGGACCTGATTTTTTTTAAGAAATTTAAAAAAAAAAACGAATAGTACTACTAATCAGCGTCAAGTATTTCCGAACGCTGATTTAATACATATGTTATCAATGGTGCTATCCACATTGACAGAATCACAGAACGTTAAAGACTGTCTGTCGAGTACCTCCCATGGATACCTCCGGTGGGGCTATGGCCGCTCTTCATGTGTTCCCCACGCCCATTGACGGAAATAATCTCACCCCCAACGGCGATGGGAACGTCAAAGTGCACCACCTTGGAGTAGCCCGGACGGAGGCGCTCGGATGGCCTGGGAACGATTAGGGTTTGGAGTAAAGCAAAAGGAACGGTTCTGTGCTACTAGTATTTGTATGCATGTCGATCCGACTCGCAAGTCCGTTTGGGGAGCGGTCCGGACTCTTATCGTTCAATCCAACGGAGTGGAGAAAAAACATGATGGGCTGGCTGCTGGAACGGCCGGCCCATTAATAGATACATTTTTTCCCTTTTCAATAGATTCAAAATTAGACTACTAAAAAATATTATATTTTAAAAGATAGACTATACTTTCACAAATATTATATCGTGGGAAACCACTTTTGAGTACAAATTTAGTGGTACACTTTTTGTAGCATATACCTCATATTTTGCTATCATATAGATGGTCAAAGTTTGACCCAAATACGAATGAGCAAGTAATAACGTCAACTTAATCTACGGCCGGGGCTAAAAGTTTCTTCGCAAAATCATTAAAAATTGGTTGACTCAGCCAAAATTTATGCAGTTTTGCTAATCCCCAGGTAACTAAAATAGGAGTCACGCCAGTCGACTCTGTATGAGAAAGGAGCAAAGCCCCGGTCCCGAGACTGAGCGCCAGCAAGGTGCGGAGACACCAAATAGGAAGTGAGCTGGAGGAGGTGAGTTAGAGGGTTTGACAGCTAGGGTTCCTCTGCTACATGCCGGCGCCGCCGCCGGTCCGTCTCGTGTATGGTGAGTTAGAGGGTTTGACAGGTGCAGGCGGGTGGGGGACTTTCATTTTGACTAGTTGTTTGGGCATCTGCAACCACAATAGGTAAATTTGACACCTCAAACGTCTTGGGTCAGTGTCTGGACATGTCCTTCTGAAGACTCCATTTGTGCATGCATGCAACCACGCCCCATACTTTGTTCTTCAATTGTCCACTCAAATAGATGTGATTGGTGGAGATGGTGAGGGAGATAAAAGAAAGAATAAAGAAAGATAAAAGGTGGTCCAAGGGGGAAAAAACCTACGTGGCGTCCTGCCCGGACACACCGGGAAATCCCCATATCCTTCCCATATATGTCTTGGATATGAGGATTTGCGGATAGCCCAGGCATATGAGTACAAAGTAGGGGTCTGGTTGGGTGGTTTTTTTTCCTTCTCTCTCCTCTCCGGGCAATGATCGGCCTGTCCGGCCAGACGTCTAGGGAGGATATGAGTGGTCCGGTTGTAGATGCTCACTTTACCTTCATATTACCCCTTTTGATATCATGCAAGTTATGTGGATTAAAAAAATCCATGGGCGTATTTCAGTATGCAAGTTTACCTTCTATTAATTTTTTTTTCTGCTAAAAAAATTTAACCTTCTATCATTGTACTTTTTTCAGTTTGGTGTGCATAATTTCTTCGAACTGTATCATGCAGGTATCAAACATCTTCAAGTGACTCCACATTCTCTTTGGTGTGGACAGATAGGGATACAATGACTATCGTGATCCCAAAGAATACCCCACACCCACTAGGGAATAGCAAATCCTCACCAGTTTCCATGACAACCGGACTTTTGCCGATATAAGTCTTTACAAGGGTGATGTGCAAGCTTACAACTTGTTTAGCTAGTTCACCTTAATGACCATAACCACTATCCCCAAAAGTAAAAAAATGAAAACTTTTGATCTATTCATCATCTACCAAGCCGGTACAAAGAACACCATAAGTAATAAAAATTACATTCGGGTTCGTAGACCACCCAAAGGAGGGGATGGGAGGCAACCCGGAGGTGAACAGTGGAGGAGGAACGATTCGAGAAGGAAGAAATCTAGAGAAAGGTGGAAGAATAACGATCATTGAAGCTAATCCAATGGTCCCAAATGGACTTGACCAAAATAAAATATAAGGCGATTTACCTATAGTCAGACCCATACTAAATAATTAACCTTTTAGCATGACCGTGATCTTACTTTGGTTTTCATTCGATGTATAAGATTGGATCAGAATAGCCTTCTTAATTATATTTTCATGGTCTTTCAGTCTTCTATTCGAGAAAATACTTTGGTTGTTTTGGTTATATAATAATTGTATGAAATAATTTATTGATCAAATTACAATAAAAAAAGTAGAGAATGATTCTATCCAACATGTGGCACCTTGATGATGCCATCCCCACCAGAGGGGATATTTCCAATCACCAAAAGCACATGGTTGCAGCACATGCCATTGTCCGCCCTGGGACGAAGAGCATCAGAAATCAAGAATGTGATGTTATTCACTTGGGGGTTATCATGCCTTATACAATTGTACGCCGTGTTTGGGTCTTTCCCGACGAGCTCTGGCCAACTTTGTTCTGTGTATGAAATGCAGATTATCAGTTATTTCTTGGACCATTGAAGTTCAACTCCAATAAAAAATAAATTTGGGGCCAAACACAAAATAAAAAGTTCAATGGAGACATGGCACAAATTGTAAGAACAAAGAAGGGTGCTAGGTGTAATACTAACTTCCTTGGCAAGGCGGTGGAGTACACTCGGCATATGTTGTAGGTTTATGAATGGTCGAAAGTAGAATGATCAGAAGGGGCAACAGCAGAAAGGATGAAGCAAAGGAGATTTTCGTCATTTTACTAGAACTTAATCTTTCTTGTTAAGAATACTGTTGGGGAAGGGGGCGGGCTTTCTAGTTATAGAACCCCAAATCAAGACCGGTCGAGGTATGCGTACCGGGTTAATGAGATCAGAAGAGTTCTGGCTCAAGAAAGGAACATTAGTCTAGCTAAGATCAGCAGGCACGCAAATTTGGCGAGCCACACCCTAGCTTGTATGGGTCGCTCGCAACAGCGCACGGCATGCTGGCTCCGGAATTCCCCTAGGGAGATAGCTAGCATTGTTGAATCTGAATGTAATCATCATAGTTGATCAATGAAAAGTTCCTTTCCCGCAAAAAAAAATCAAGGATAATCTATCTTTAATTAATGTGACATATTTTCAATTAATGCGCCCATTGATGGTCCGTGTATCTACAATAACTAGCAATAAATCAATGTGCACTGAATGTTGGCTATTGAATGAAGAAATATACTAGATATATTCAATTGATATTGTTATTAATTATTCGTTGGTACACCGTATGGATTCATGTCTTCCATATACGTTCTAGGAAACAAAGTTTGGGTTAAGTCGTTCATGTTAGGAGATAGGCAGTTATTTGTTCAAGCTTAATGTGGATTAGCATCATCACAAGATATCAGAAGGGGCAACAGGAGAAAGGATGAAGCAAAGGAGATTTTCGCCATTTTACTAGAACTTAAGCTTTCCTATATTAGAATATTGTTGGGGAGGGGGCTTCCTATTTATAGAACCCCAAAGCAAGTACATTCTATCTTTAATTAATGTGGTATATTTTCAATTAATGTGGCCATTGTTGATTTTTATATTTACAATTACTAGCAATAAATCAACATGCACCGAGTACGGCTATTGAATGAAAACTATACTACTACAAAGTTATTGGCTATTGAATGATGCCATCCCCACCTAGTGCCACAAAGTTATTGCCACCTTGATCAAATTACTAGCAATAAATCCATGTTATGTGCTTTATATATAGAAAATCATCATCAACCTACCGTCTTTAAAAAGAAAGGCTCTACAAAGTTTGTAAATGGCTTTAAACAATCACGGTGGGAGATCTGGCAACACTAAGGCCCCGTTTGGATGTTGGGTAGGAAAAAACCTGGGCCATAAACCCCTAGGGGAGATTCCCCTGTGCACATGCAACCCCTCCCACCACGTGGGAGATGTTCCCATTGTCCAGGTGCCCAAATAGTAGCATGGGAGGGAAGGAAGTCCCTTGCATACTACAGACAAATATAATATAGCAGATCTTACACAAAAATTCTAGAGATAATTTTGGAAAACAACCAAATCATAGATAAAAATTCCACAAATAATTCCGAGAAACAACAAAAATCACATTCCAGAAATAATTCTGACAAACGACAAAAATCACAGGCACATAACAAAGGTTCATAATTCATGTCAACTAGAATTTTAAAAATATTACTACAACTTATCCATCACTTCATCAAGCTTAAGATATCAGTCTGCATTTCACGACGATCGAGCATTGGCCTAAGCTGTTTTCATGTGCAGAAATAAAAGCAATCATTACAAGAGGTATTAATACATCGTCAAGTTTGTGCACAATAAAAAGTTCTGGGTTATAAGTTGCCATGTCCAACGCAGGGATACTTTCGAACAAGATGGGCCGCAAAGCAACAATCACGTCCTACTCCGGTCTTTTCTCCACTCCTTCCTCGACATCATGTACCACAACTTGATGCTGGCTGAATGACAAAAAGAAACAAGTTAGCTAGCATCAGTTCAGAATCGCACAACACTATTTTGTAGTATAAGCAAACTAATGAGACAGTATCAACCAACATATGATTTGTGCACTGTGCATAAAAAAATCAAGACTACAAATATAGTTTAGGAACGCAATCACAAGGCTGTCCAGTAACCTAATTTGGTTACTTGAAAAAGTCTCCAGATGAACAGGGCAATATATTGCTGTGAGGTGAGTTATGAGGCAATAGGAGGTGAAACCAATTGGAGGAGGCCACCAAATTAAGTATCACTAACAAGCTTGTAAAGGTAAACATAAACTACCAAACAAAAGGCAGTAAAATTTCTCCAAATGTGTGGCTCTTCTAGTCAGTTTTAAAAGAATGAAGTGTGTTTTGTCTTTGCTTATCTATCATCAATTAACAAAGAGAAACAAGCTTATACAAAGCTCCAGTCAATAATGCCACAAAGTAAATAAATATAAATGGATGTAGTGCAAAACAAGAAGGTGAGCTGGTTACACACCTTATGCTATCTACATCTCAGAAATCACCTCCTTCAACCAATAAAGCCGAAGATTTGAGTCCTTGGTATTGATGAATATTTCTCGATTCATTGGGCATTTGAAAAGCCGCAATGCCTTTGCTTTTTCTGCAACTGATAAATCTTCCATTGGTTCTAGCGCAGCCACACAGTTTCCAATTGAGAACATGTCATCTGGCTTTCATTCCTTCAACTCGTCAACCAGTTTTGCAGGTTGTTTCTTCCGAAAATCCATGTAATCCTCAAGAACAACAGCGATCTGGCTTTGCTTCCTCTTTTCACAGGCACTCCCTTTTGTTCAGAGTTGGTAGATGTTGTAGCTTCAGGTTCATCTCTTCTTGATGCCCCTTGCCCTTGTAGATCAGATGAGGACATACCATCATCAACATTGGTAGATGAGATATGGTTCAAATCATTGGTAGAGGAATCCATAGGAGAAATGGCATCGCTTGTGAGATCCACTTGCGGAATTGATACAAAGTTCAAGTCTCCTGAAGCAACACATCCTGCTCCAAAAAAGAAACATATCAGCATGTTCTCTTAGAAACATCAGATTCATCTATAATTGCAAATACACATATTTACTGCCACCCATTCCAGAAAGAAAGTATATATACAGATAACTTGGTCCTTCATCATACAACTTTTTAGAAAGAAAAAGAGCACTCAAGCAGGGTCCGATGGAAACACATGAAAAAATACAGGTATCTCAACAATCTCCCAAATACTATATAATTAAAGCAAGAATGAAAAGGATTTAATATACAGGGTCGACGGAAACACGTTATACAGGAAACACACCTTCATGTAGTAAAGCCAATGACTTGAAGAGCATGAATGGTTTTGAACGGAACTTCTTTATCCTTGCATTATCCTATTGAATGCAACAATATTGTATGGTTGGGATCAATAAAACAATGCCTTGAAGAGCATGAATGCCAGTGAACAAAAAATATATCAAGAAAAGAGTTAACCTTGATAAGTTTATCCCATATTACAGGTTCGGCGATGATCATGCATCCCATCCCGTGCCACTCTGTTTCTGAGAGTCTCTCACTGCCTTATAATTTTCTTTTAAATCCTTATCCTTCTCTTGGATTTGTTGCTTGCTGAAATTAGCTAGTGGAAATTTCCGATTGAATGTATTTGCAATTCTAGTCCACCCTTCAGCAGTCCACCCATTTTGACCTCGATAGATGGGATTGTTGTGGTCAAGCATTATATCAACAAGACCTTTCTCATATGCATGGTCCCAAGATGCCCTAGGCGCTGCCATTGCTACATTATTGAACCAACAATGGGGTACTAGTTAAATTTCTCTCTACCACTACTTTACCTAAGAAAAGGTGAGAAAAAAATTACAAAGTAAACTCATGTCCGACTAGTTGTTATAATCAGCCCACATTTGCATCGCGATCTGATCTCTAAGAGTGTTCCCATTGTTTGCCTCATTGTGATGATGTTGGTTGACATCATATCCCTCTGGAACATCAACATATGTTTCTGGTGGAATTAACGGTGGTTGGTGATCCAACCATGCCTCATCACCACTTTGAGCTCTAATGATGTTATGGAATACAGCACATGCTGCAGGAATCTTGATTTGTGACTCTATTGGGTAGCCATTGCCCACTTTCAAGATAGGGAAACATTTTTTTAGAACACCAATGCTCCTTTCGATGTGGTTCCGAAGAATTGCATGGGTATGGTTGAAAAGCTCCCTATGGTCGGCATAGCCCGTATGAGATGAGCGTCGCCTCCTAAATTACCGAACTCCTCGATATGGTGCAAGAAAAGAAGGCGTGTTGGCATATCCACCATCTACGAGATAAAATTTTCCATCTGGCACATGAAACCCCTTGCTAATAGCAGAACGAAGAACTCCTGCATCTGATGCAGATCCTTCCCACCCACATGAAATAAATGTGAAATTCAGATGAAAATCACATGCAACCATGACATTCTGTGAGAGGGATCCTTTCCTATTCCTAAATGGGGGGGCCTTATCTTCAGCAATAGTGATGGGGATATGTGTTCCATCTATAGCACCAATGCAGTTCTGCACATTGAAACAGAAACAACAAAGTTGGTAGGTTTAGAAATCTATGTGGAGAAGTTTACAAAAATTCCATTGATATGGAGATGTGTGTGTAGTGGTTCACCTGGAAATAAGGCCAATAGCGATTGTTCGAAACAATCTTCGGATGGGGCTGGAGTGAACTTGGAATCTTTATAAATCTTTGGGCTAGAGTTGTAATTAAGTCAAAAATCATGTTTATCTTCCTATGAATTGTTTATGCGCTGTGTTGGAAGTACTTTTGTAGATCTTGATTACTAGCATTGTGCAAAATCATGTACATGAACATCGCCAATTGCTCCTCGGCAGAAACACGTGACGTGCCCTTCAATAGATTCTCTCTTCTAAGGTAATCCACAATAGACTTAAAAATCTCAGGTTCCATCCGAAACTCAACCCTAGACCAACTCTCATGGCCTTCTAATATTTCCTTAACCTTTGCAACCCCGGATAAAGATGATGTGTGAACTGGATGCTTTTCCTCATAAAGGGAAGCATATAAAGCGGGAACCAAAAGGAAAAATAGTTCATCGTCTTCTTCTTGTTCTTGCGAGATAATCTTAATAATTTTATTTCTCCTAGAATCCATCACTATTATACCCAATGAAAATAAAATTAATACAACTATAATAATTATAAATAAAGCAATAATA